TTTTTTTTAATTGAATTTACTTGGTTTTGCTGGTATTCTGAGTTTAATGACTGCTTCTGGTTGGTAAATCTGAAAAAATTTATATATATATATATATATATTGTGTTTTTCTAGTTGAATTTTCTGAAATTTAGAAGTTTGTTCAGCTAGGATTGTTGGCTTTTAAGTGATGCTTACACATTGTTTTTTCTATTTTGTGATAAGTAAATTAGTATTGCTTGGGAAAATGATGCTTAAAAACGGTCTGTTTTAAGATCTTATTGGTCTTTAGTAGTCAATTTGCTTTAAAATTACTATTTGTGTTGGAAAAAGATTGTTGGAGGTGGAATTAGGTCTAATAGGTCCTTCTAACATGTTGTTTTCGTAATAATGATTTGGGTCCTGCAGAGGTTATTCCCTTGTTTTGCATCTAGGTGTTTTTGCTGAGATTGTTACGTGAAATACATTGGTTTTGCATCCTATCTGTTTCTGCACATTGTCATTTAATTGATATGCTGCATTTCGGCAGATTGAAATTAGTGTTAGATTTTGTATGGGACTTTTATTAGCGTTAGTCTTTTTAGGGCTTTTGCTTTCTGCTTGGAGTGCTTAAATTGTTTTAATTTTATTATTGAAAGATAAGAATTTTGGTATGTTTGTTCTGAAACCAATTACGGCTGAGGTTTATAGCTCCATTGGCTGAAATACTTTTTAGTTCTTTTCATTCTAACTTGGATTTTATTATTACAGTTTTATATTTTTGCTTGTTGAGAACTATGGAGTGAGGAAGTTGGAAGCTGTTTTTGCAGTTCTTATCTTGACCATGGCTATATCCTTTGCTTGGATGTTTGGTGACACAAAGCCCAGTAGAAATGAACTTCTAATAGGTCTTTTGGTACCAAAGCTCAGCTCAAGAACTATTCATCAGGCTGTTGGAGTAGTAGGTTGTGTTATAATGCCTCACAATGTTTTTTTGCATTCTGCTTTGGTACAATCAAGGAAAATTGACCCCAACAAGAAAGGGCAGGTTCGAGAAGCACTCACTTACTACTCAATTGAATCTTCAGTCGCCCTCCTTGTTTCCTTCATGATTAATGTATTTGTAACAACTGTTTTTGCCAAGGGGTTTTACGGTAGTAAACAAGCTGATAGTATAGGGTTAGTAAATGCTGGACAATATCTTCAAGAGAAATATGGTGGAGGATTGTTCCCCATTCTCTACATTTGGGGTATTGGATTATTAGCAGCTGGACAAAGTAGCACCATAACTGGAACTTATGCTGGCCAGTTTATCATGGGAGGTTTTCTAAACCTTCGTCTGAAGAAATGGTTGAGGGCATTGATCACTCGTAGTTGTGCCATTTTGCCTACTGTTGTGGTAGCCCTTGTTTTCAACAGATCTGAGTCATCACTGGATGTTCTAAATGAATGGCTTAATGTGCTTCAGTCCATACAGATACCTTTCGCTCTTATTCCACTTCTCACCTTGGTTTCGAAGGAACAGGTTATGGGAGTCTTTCGAATTGGGCCCACTCTGGAGGTAAATCAATGATTTCTCTGATTTATCATTTTAGTGCATACAGCTGTTTGTTTTGGAAATATACGTTTTCTAAGATGACAGAGATTCCTCATGACAGTTGAATACGTCATCCAGAGTTTGAACAAACTTAGTTTGCTTAAAATAATACGGTTTGGGGCTTGTAATGTCAGTTAATTTGGAAGCTTAAATCAAAATGAATGGATTATGGAGAAAAATAATAATTTTCATGGCTCCACAGGTTTTAAGGCTGAAGTGATTGGAAAATTCTTCAATTTCTGAGTTGTTGCAATCTAAATGAGTAAATTTTGAGGAACATGTATGGGATGTCAAAGAGAGGGGACTGCCCTGATGCTCCAATTAGAGTGATAGACATATGATTTCTTTTTTTAAAGTTGCATTTGGTTTCAATTTGTCCAATTGCTGCTCAACTGTGCTTTGCTTAAACTAAGCTTACTGTGGGATAACTCAGCTATATCTCCCTTTTCTTTTCTTTTCTTTTTCATTTTTGTTTTAAATCTTGGCAGCCATTATTGCAATTCTAAAGGTCAATATGATTTTAGTTGTTGGCAATTGGAGACTTATAACTACAGCTTGCATCTGAAATTGAGCTGAGTAAGTGATGTAGTTGATTAAATATTTGGTCAGTGTAGTAGTACTACATGCTTGAATTCAGAATAAAGATTCATCTACATCAACTCTCATGTTTGGAAATTGTACATCCTTCATAGCACATGTTGTTTAACTTGTTTTGAGGATATGCTGTCATCCCCGATAACTTGTTTTGAGGATTTGCTGTTATTCTCGATGATTGTTGCAAGTAAATATGTTAAATGGCTTTTAAACTGAAATTGCTGAACGATCAACTTCCTGGATAATTCCATGTTTTGAGATTCAGGTCTATAGAGTTTGTTGTCCATGTCATAAGAATGGATGTGGCATTTATTATACTTGTGCAATTCCTGTAATTATGTTCATCATCCTGACTTCCAGAGAATGTTTCACTCCATGAAATTCATGGAGTTGGCAAGGTTATGGTCTCTTTTACTGCCTTAGCCCTCCATCTTAATTGTACGTCACAAATTGACAGACTTGATCGATCCTTGATTAGCTGATGGAAAGTTGCAGTATGCTTCTCACACTTGACCAGTCAAGTTATAAAATCCTTTCTTTTCTTGCTTGGAGCATGCCATCCCTTTTCTGCTTTGCATCTTTAAAAGTTGTTCTGATTTGGCAGCCAATTCTGTCGGGTTCAGTTTTCCATATCAGTTTTAAAGCAATAATGAAATCACTAACTTTTCAAGCCAAGTTTTCCTCCAAAATTTTGTTTATTGCTGAATAAGTAGATAACAAACTCAAGATTCAGTCTATTTTCTTCAGCAGCTTTGTAGTTAATTTGCCACTAGTCTACAGCTGCATATATTATTCCATTAGCTGTTTGCAGTTCTGGTGAATTTGGCGATCATTGGATATACAAGTCCCAACCATATTAATTGCCAAAACTAGCAATTTGATTCCCCATCTTCTTATGTTGTTTACTTGTGTTGCAGAAAGTAGCTTGGACCGTGGCTGCCCTGGTGATAGTGATTAATGGGTATCTTTTGCTAGACTTTTTCTCCTCTGAAGTTCATGGATTGCTCTTTGGTTTCCTGGTTTGTGCGGGAACTGTTGCATATCTAGCATTTATCTTATATCTGATATCGCGTGGTGGTGGTCCTTTTTCAAATTGGATCAACATACCACTCTTCAAGGTGTTTACAACATCTGGAAATTAAGGCAAAAACTTCTTCTTTAGGTCAAGAATTAAAATTATCACAAAAAACGTTGAGCAATCACAGCCATGGGGCTGATGGAACATGACCCTGCACTTACTTGACCTGATACACGCTTTGACCAGGATTTCCTCCCAATGGCGTTCTCTATTCACAATGACAATACAGTCTGAAAGTAAAATTTTGTGCATAAGTGTACAATTACAGTGAGTGCTTCAGAACGGATGAAATTTGTAAATCTATTGTTGGGGAGATGTACCTAATTCATTGAGATGGAACGGGGCTTTTACAGCTGGAGAAGGTGATCCTCTAATGCCGTTGACCAGATATTGAAAGGATCTTGTGAAAAGAATGGGACGTGTTCTCTGCATGATGAAGGTGATGCTCTGGCTTCGTTTGTGCAATTCTTGTTACGTGTCAATTATACTCGAATAGATAGATGTACATTTATCAAAAATTGCCCCATTTTTTTTTGTGTGTAAAGAACTGAGATATTTTATTTCCAGAAGACAATACCATTATTGGAATAGACAGGAGGGACTAGCCTTTGGGATGACACTGCAAATTGCTATAGTGGACACCTCGGATCTTTGGATATCTTTTCTTTAAAAGAATTTGAGATCTTTTTCCTTGACCTTACTGATTTCTCTTTTTCCTTTTAGTCATTCTGCTTTTGGCTGGTTAACTGGAGAAAATCATGCTACCTGGGAATGGACATCTCTCATCTTTTCTTGTAAATAATTAGAGAATCTTTCCTTGACCTTACGGGTATCTCCATCTTCTTTGAATCATTCTGCTCTTGGCTGCTCAGCTAGAGAAAATCATGTTCACTTGGAAATGGCCATTTCTCATGTAAAAGTTCTGAGAATTATGCTTTTTCAAGTCTTTCTCCGTGTTTTGTATGACATGGACTGCAACCGTTAACATCACTACATATCCTACTCTTCAAGTAGAGTTCTTTTTAATCATTCCGCAATCCCTTTAAGAATTTACATCCCTACTTTTCAAGAATTGGCTAAGGAAGAGAAAAAAATTTTAACAAAAAAGTAAGCTGTCGTACGTGTTTACCTTTCTTGATTTAGAGTATGCAAAGAATTGGTAGTTCGTAAATCCATAGTTGGTAACGTTACCCATTTCCAAATCTTGCCAGAAAAAAGCAGGGGTAGTTGTTACATCCCTTTGCTTGCCCAATCCTTCCAGATTTTCGACGGATAACATCTCAGACCTTTTTTAAGCAGGTGGACATTTGACATGGACGCCAGGATACTTCTTGAGTAGGTGGGCTACCGACAAAGGGGACAGTATGATAGATGGGATCAGTTGTCAATGGGGGGACCCAAGATTTCATTTACTCGCGTTAATAGTTAGAGGCTGTTTCCGTTGACAAACTACAAGACTGATGATCATATGATTGAATGACTGCTACAGTTCTAAATGAAATTCTGGATCTGTCTAGTTGATTTTACATCTTCTATATATCACATGATTCACATCCTCGACAATACTTTGTATACAATGCCCCCACAAATAGGTTCCAGTCACTTATTGCCAATTATTGTCCTGGAAATCACCCTAAATCGTACTCTTTCTCCAATTATGGAGACAGCCCAACTATATCTTTGATTTCTTGAGATCTGTTTCACGATTTGATAAGTAACGTAGTATAGAATTTTGACATGCACGGATGGCATAAACATCATCATTCATGAACGACAAATCCAGGAACAGAACAAAAACAAGTATTGGAATTTAATTGAATCAATGACCAAGAGTACAAAAGTGGACATAATCAATCAATTCTAGGCAACAGAAAAGTTGCCTCTGGCATGATTTCATCCATTCAACCGGAAAAAGAAGATAACAGAGACATTAATTGCATGATGACTTCTCCCCTAAGAAGCTATACCTATCATCTTCTATATATGCCCAGTATTGCTACGCACCTTTTGCCCCAGAAAGAGAGGTGACAGGAGAAACAATGGAATTATCTAATTCCTGCATTACATTTCTTGCCATCTCCATTATATTCATCTTGAACTTACTCATAAGAAAACGGGCATTGCAGAAAAAGCAACCTCCAAGCCCACCTTCACTTCCTCTCATAGGCCACCTTCATCTTCTGAAAGAACCACTCAATCAGACCCTACAATCACTTTGCACCAAGTATGGTGACATCTTGCTTCTCCGGCTAGGTGTCCGTAAGGTCCTTATTGTCACCTCACCTTCAGCAGCCGAAGAATGCTTCACCAAGAATGATATTATATTCGCTAACCGTCCAAAAACCATGTCGTCCAAACACTTCAGCTACAATTACACCACCATCAGTGTAGCCCCTTATGGAGATCATTGGCGCAACCTTCGCCGTTTAGCAGCACTGGAGATATTCTCTCCAGCTCGAATGGCCTCGTTTGCCAGCACGCGAAGGAAGGAACTAATGCTGCTGCTAAGTGAACTGATGCAAAAGTGTAGTGTTGGTGGAGGATCAGCAAAGGTGGACTTGACTTCCATGTCTGCTGAGATTACCTTCAATATCCTGTCCATGACATTGGCCGGAAAGAGATATTATGGAGAGAATGCGGCGGATGATGAAGAGGCTAGGAAGACAAAGCTTCTGATAAAGGAGATGCTTGTGAATAGTGTAAGGTCAAATCTGGGGGATTATTTGCCTATCTTGAGGTGGATTAATTATAAGGGAGTGGAGCAAAAGTTCTCAACTTTGATGAAAAGGGTTGACAAATTTATACAGGATTTGGTAGATGAACGTAGGCTACGTTTATCATCTACCAGTTCTATAAATGTGAGCCGTGGACAGGCAGAGAAGACCACCTTGATTGATCACTTGCTCTCCTTACAAAAAGAGGAACCTGAATACTATACAGATCAGCTCATAAAAGGGATTGTAATGGTAAGTGCTCCATTCAAGTTGGGCTTCTATCATAGTGTTTACATTTATTTGTTAGATATATCAAGGAAAAAAGCATTATTTTGTCATGAGAAAGAAGGAATTGATCATTCATGCTTCTTCACTCTTGATATTTTACAGGTGTTGTTGATTGCTGCAACAGATACAGTATCAATAACCATGGAATGGGCCATGGCTCTGCTCCTAAACCATCCTGAGGCTATCAAGAAGATCAAAGCTGAAATAGATGATCATGTTCCGGATAACAGGCTACTAGAAGAGCAAGACTTGCCAAAGTTGGCTTACCTACAAAATGTAGTCAAGGAGACCCTGCGTTTGTATCCACCAATTCCATTTATGATCCCTCATGAAGCCTCTCAAGATTGTACAGTGGCAGGTTATTATGTATCAAAGGGTACAATGTTGCTGGTGAATTTGTGGGCTATTCATAGAGACCCCAAGCAGTGGGAGAATCCAACAAAGTTTATACCAGAGAGGCATGAAGGGAGGAGAGTGGATGAGTATAGTCTAATGCCATTTGGTGCCGGAAGGAGGGGTTGTCCGGGGGCAGGGCTGGGAACTAGGATTCTGGAATTGGTGTTGGGGACACTTGTTCAGGTATTTGAGTGGGAACGAACCAGTGGAGAGTTAGTGGACATGACTGAAGGTAAAGGGTTCAGCCTTCCAAAACTCAAGCCATTGGAAGCTATTTGCAGACCTCGACAAGCCGTAGTTCAGCACTCTCTTGTACGCTTTTGAATTTTGTCTGTTGAAATTAAAAGGTGAATCTTGGAATCAGAAATGATTGAATAAGGCAATTGTTTTAGCTTGTAACTAGCTCATCGGACGAATAAGATTTGATCCGTTCAAGGCCTTCGTCTATATTTTTATGATACGCTTGGGGGTTAAAATGAAAGATTAGATAGATAAGGGACAATCCAAATCAAAATTTCAAAGTGTATTAGCATCACAAAAACAAGACTAAACACACATAAGGCCATTGTTCATGTTTGCAACCAGAGATGGATTCTAGTTGTTCAATGACTACCATAAAGCTTTTCACTAGAAAATATCACCAAAACTTAAAATCTTATAAGATCCTAGGAATAACAGCTATAACTAGGGAGGGGATTGCTGGACTAAGTTGGAATCAACCTTTTTGTGTTGATGCTCATGGTAAGTATTGGAGATTAAAAGATGTGAATAGTTCTTAGGTAATCCAATCTTGCTCAATGGAGCCATAAAATTCCACATTTCTTCTCAGAAACTTATCTGACAGCCCTCCAACTATTCCAGAAAGAGCTTAACAGCTTCTAATGTTGCTTGCACTTGAAGTGGCAAGGAATATAAGGTAAGAAAGAGCAAAGTCTTTTCCTTTGTAATTGTGGGTTGGGCTCAAACTAAATTCTGCTTTGATGCTGGATGACCTCAACGAAGGCATCCAAAAGTCCAATCACCGTTACAAATCCTCCTTCAGTTAAAGATATACATCATAGTCCATGTAAATGGACATATTGGAAGGTACTTGGACAGAGCAATTAAATGACGATACTAGCGGACAAATTCTCACATTTAAGTTAATGGGGGCGTTTTTTGTTGTTTTGGGGGGGATATTTTTTGGGGTGTGTGTGTGTGGTGGGGTGGGGGGGGGGGAATGGGCAATAGTCAAAGAACCTTTGCACAAGTAATGTTCCAGGAACAAGAGCATGGGCAATAGTCAAAGATCACGAGCCGCAGCCATAGAAAGAGCTTCTTAGCAATCCAACCTAAGTTTTCTTGCCAAACAAGTACAATAAAAACAATGCCAATAGATTATTGGAAATTAAATGGTAGCCTGGTCCCTATCTCTGTTGGCTTTGTATATAAAAAGGAAACTTGGACAAGGCAATTGTGCACTCAACCATTGCTTAACCTCATCCTCGTAAAATCATGGAAGCGGAAATGTCCTGGTATTACTGCATTTCCCTACTATCCTTTTTCTTGCTAATTCTCACCCTGTCAAAACTCTTCCTCAGGAAAAGAAGGCAGTGCAACAATGTACCACCAGGCCCACCTTCATTCCCAATCATAGGGCATCTTCATCTGCTAAAAGAACCTTTGCACAAAAGGTTACAGCAACTTTCTCATAAATATGGTCACATATTTTCCTTAAAGCTGGGATACAGATCAGTGGTTGTCATATCTTCACCATCGGCTTTTGAGGAATGCTTCACAACTAATGACGTAGTTTTTGCCAATAGGCCTCGTTTTCTTGTTGGCAAGCACCTCAACTATAACTTCACCACAGTGGGAACAGCCCCGTATGGCCCTCTTTGGAGGAACCTTCGCCGCATTACTACCCTGGAGATCTTCTCAAGAGGTAGACTCAACATGTTCTTGAACATTCGGCAAGAAGAAGTGAAGTTACTAGTAAAAGATCTTTATCAAAGATCAAGCCCAAGTTCTTCAAAGGTTGAGATGAAGTCTAGGTTCTCGGAGCTATCATTTAACATCATTATGAGGATGGTAACAAACAAGCGATACTTTGGAGCTGAAGTGCAGAACAATGAACAGGCTAAGCACTTCCGAGATATAATAAGGGAATTGTCTGAATTGAGTGGAGCATCAAATCCAGGGGACTTCCTGCCAATTTTGCAATGGATTGATTTTCAGCAGATTGAGAAGAAAATGCTGAAATTGCAGGAAAGTATGGATGAAGTCTTGCAGAGCCTGATAGACGATTGTCGAAATAAGTGTAGAGAATCTCAGACGGAACACAAAGTGGCAGGGAGAGATACAATCATTGACTCAATGCTTTCCATGCAAGAAGAAGAACCTGAGTACTATACTGATGAAATCATCAAAGGCATTGTTCTGGTATGTTTCCTAACCATAACTTTCAGTCAGGGAAGATTGTTAACTCCAGTTTTCAGGTGTCCAACCACACTGTTGTATAGCAACATTGACACCAAGAACTAACAAATAACTAAAGGTTAAAACCCTCATTTGATCATCTCCTAAACCAAAGAACAATTAGATATTATCTAACCAGAATTTTCCTTTAAAGCTAAATGCTACTTCACGCTATATGGGTCTTCTGATTTGGAATTAATCTCAATTGAATTAATGTCAGACTAAAAGAACAATTTCTTGAGCAAATAAAACAAAAAAAATTCCATTTGGTCACATGCTAGATATTGACAATTAGGGGCTGTTCTGTACTTCTGTTTCCTAATTTCCCTTTTATTGCTACTCTGACTTCAATGTTTCTCAAATGCTCCAAGATACTGTTAATGGCTGGCACAGACACTTCAGCTGTAACAATGGAATGGGCCATGTCGCTTCTTCTCAATCATCCTGAGGTGTTGAGGAAGGCAAGAGTTGAGCTAGACAACTTTGTAGGTCAAGATCGTCTAGTAGATGAATCAGATCTTCCTAAGCTGACTTATATCCAAGCCATTGTCAACGAAACATTACGATTGTTTCCAGCAGTGCCACTCCTATCACCGCATGAGTCGTCGGCTGAGTGCTCCATCGGAGGCTATTATGTACCCTCTAACACAATGTTGCTTGTTAATGCCTGGGCCATTCACAGAGACCCTGAATTATGGGATGATCCCACCAGTTTCAAGCCAGAAAGATTCGAGGGGCTGGAAGCTGATACCTACAAGTTGAAGTTGATACCATTTGGCATGGGAAGGAGGGGCTGTCCTGGTGCTGGTCTTGCCAATCGCGTGGTGACATTGGCTCTGGGAGCATTGATCCAATGCTTTGACTGGGATAAGGTTAGCCAGGATTTGGAAGACATGACTGAAGGTTCAGGCCTCACAATGCCTAAAGCCAAGCCATTGGAGGCGATGTGCAGAGCTCGTGAAAAGATGACTAAAATCCTGAAAGAACTATGAGTTGCTAACTTATTCTCAAACTAGTGGATATATTAAAGGCAGTCGTATCAATTATCACCATGCAAATTAAACTTGGAGAAGCTTGTCAACTTTTCTCACTCGAAATGCAAATGTTCTGTCGATATTTGAACTGTGACTTAATCGTTTTGAATAAAAAGAGCTGGTTCAGTTGCAAATTGTTAGGCTTTTATGGTATAAATTCTAAACTTGGTACATAAGTGAATTGAATCAATACTGACAACATTGCTGATGCATCTAAAATAGCTTTAAAAAGATAACAAATTATCAATCTGACCTTGTAGAATTTTGGATGTTTCATGCTGAACTTGCTGTAGGCTGTAGTTTAATTTTTCGTAGTTGTATGCATTCAAGAGTGAGTTGGTAAACTTTATGATTGGATATGCATCCAATCCTATGCATTTATGCCTATGGCGCGGGGAAGGGTAGCGGATAGGGTTGTCAACGGTTTGGATTCAAGTCGAAATTGAAAATTTCGAACTTGGATCCGTTATAATGTACCAATTTTGGACCCAACCCGTATATCCGACGGGTCTTGTACTTAGGGTTTCGGGTCGGGTTCAGCTCTATTCGAAAAAAATAAAATCCAACAAAATAATGTATTTATACATATTATTGTATTTAGAAATATTTATATTATTGTATTTAGAAATAACGTATCAGAAATAAGGCCCCAACAAGATTAGGATTTGTTAATTTGGTAAAAGAATTATTATTGTATTTAGAAATATTTATATTTTATAATTATTAATGTATTGCTCGAGTTCAGAGTTAGAATCCTATATTCCATATCCGACCCGTTTTTTTTTTGTAAGAATAAACGAGTTCGGGTTCCAGAATTATTTCTTAATTTGTACCCAAAAAAAACTATCAAATTCGAGCCGGATCCAGATCCAAACCTGGCTCGTTGACAGTTGACAGCCCTAGTAGCGGAAAAGGCGTGGTTTTGTGGTGGTGAAGAGTCGCACCTTAATGTGCTAGAGGTGTATTTATATATAGAAGAAAACAGGATGGGATCTAAGTGAACCTAATATAGCCATAACATTATACTATGAAAGTTCAGATTGATTTTTTTTTTTGGTATGAACTTGATATATACGTGAGCTTGGTATTATTCTTTAGCTAAAACGAAATTTACTTGATTTTTATCGTGATGTGCTCAAGCAATTTCATTCATAAAAATGTAAATTTCGACACAAATTTTAGGTGGGTTTAAAAATATTAATAAGCACTAGCATACTGACACCGTTTAACCTTAATTTGATTAGTAAACAAATCATGCTCTTACTGGTTTGTTTATTGTGAACAAATCATGCATTCAATCAAAGATTTAGCCTCATTATTATTCACCATGCTAGCTGGTAATTGGTACGATATGGTATAGGAATCTTTGTTACACCACGCGGAATCACCGCCACACAGTTTCTCGTACTTCTTTGCTCTGATTCATCTAATGAAAGTTTTCTTGTCCTTTATTGGCTGCAATTCCATGGTCAAAATTCTCCATTTCAGTCTGTTTCCTTGATTTTCCGTCACAACGCAGGCAGCAGCTGTGCCTTTGTCGGTCTCTGTGCTGCGTCCGTGCGCGTACATTTTTCATTTTGCCCACTAATCACGGCTTAAAACCAAACCCCAAAAACTGCAAAATGTTCCAACATGCAAGGGCCCCCCAAATCCAATACCTTCCTTTCCTCCCCCGCAAATCCCAAGGCCCCCGTACCCCCATATAATATGCAGATAAAGTGGGAAAACAAACAGACACAGTTCACAATACTTGCATTTGCCATTAAATTACGGCTATCTGCATTGCAATAAATTCTTTATTTCTTTCATCAGGAAAACATCAGACCAACGAGAAATTCAGCTAACTACAGAAGGAGCAATGATCCATGCAACCCCCAACAATCACCCAGAACAAGAAGAAGATCAAGAATCCAATATCCTTATTCCTTTGTCATCATCAACGGCTACCCATGATTACGTTGATGAAGCCCGTGAGAAAATCTTGGCTCTGGAAATTGAAACAGAGGAGCCATCATCATCCCATGGTAATTCCGACGAAGAAGAGGCAAAAGCACCAGCATTTTCCTGGAGGAAGCTATGGGAATTTACTGGGCCGGGCTTTCTAATGAGCGTGGCATTTCTTGATCCGGGAAACTTGGAGGGTGATCTGCAGGCTGGGGCTATTGCGGGCTACTCACTTTTGTGGTTGTTGATGTGGTCTACTGTGATGGGACTTTTGATCCAGCTCCTGTCTCTGAGGCTGGGTGTCGCCACGGGCCGGCACTTGGCTGAGCTGTGTAGGGAGGAGTACCCCTATTGGGCTGGGCTTTTGTTGTGGTTAATGGCTGAGCTGGCATTGATCGGAGCTGATATTCAGGAGGTGATTGGCAGTGCTATAGCCATAAACATTTTGAGTCATGGGGTCTTTCCTCTTTGGGCTGGTGTCCTCATTACTGCTGCTGATTGGTGAGGTTTTGTCTTCCCCTTGTTGCTAATTAATTTTATGGCTAGGGATTTGATTTGTAGAACTCAGCTTATTGGTTATAAAAGATCCATATGGGCATGATGTCCAGAGTTGTTAACTGTTTTAAGTAAATTAAGGAAAGCTCTGAACTTGGGGAAATGTGAATTAAGTTGAACTAGAACTCTAGAAGGTACTGAAGTATGTCTTTGCTTGTGGCTATGGCATAGAATGTGACTTTCAGGGGACTAAATGAACTTCATCCTAATGTTACCATAAGCACATAAAAGTCGCTGTTCCTAAGGCATTGGTAGAAAGTTGCTTTAGAAAAACCAGTGAAGCACATTTTGTTGGCAGAGAAATTTGGAGGGCAAACCTCTACATCATTGACAGATACACATAACAGAGGGAAGCTTTTATAGACCCAAGGAGAAGATGGGGATTACTTGTGGAGACAATAAAAATTGTGTCTTGTGTTGGCCTTGTAGCTCCTGAACTTAGATTGTACCATGCACATGAAATTTTGATGACCGAAATATATTTTTCTGGACAACGGTTGATTATTAGGTGAAGTTAATCCTATCAAAGGCCAAAGGATGTTGTTAATGCAATTTTTTTAGGTAAATGTTCATTGTTCAAAACTCTTGGCCCAGGAATTGAAAATTTTTCAATTTCTTTTGGTCTTTAACGAGTATCATTTTACAAATATTATTGCTTTGGATGATAAACTAATAACGTTACTTTAAAAAAATTCGTTTTGCCTAAACTTGCTCTAGCTTTATTATTAGTTCCGTTCACTTGGAGATACAAATATATGTGGCAGAGGTGACAGAATTTTCAATTCAAGTTCTTATTGCACATATTTTTTTATTTTTTATCAAATATTATTGAGAACAGGATGAAGGAACAATTTGGTTGGTTATGTTCTTTTCTGGTGATAAGTTTCTTTACTGTCATTTGTCTCTCAACCATTAGACTTTTTCTTTACACGTTCTCATTGCATATATATGGCATTTTTTCTTGCCAATATATATATATATATCTTTATTAAGTTGTAAGTGAAGCATTTGGCTTTCAAATGTTCTTCTAAAAGGAATCTGATTTCCAACATCTTGCGTCCTATCTCGAAATCTTGGTGATTCCTCACGCTCAAGTTTTCATCATCAGTACCATACTTGAACCTGCTAAAATGCAACTTTGTTCTGTTATCTAATGTGTTTTTGCTGGCATGAACAGTTTCATCTTCTTGTTTCTTGAAAACTACGGAGTTAGAAAACTAGAAGCTGTTTTTGCTATCCTAATCACAACAATGGCACTATCTTTTGCCTGGATGTTTGCTGACACAAAGCCTAGCACTAAAGAACTCACACTAGGTTAGAATTTTGCTTTATTTGGCATGCCTTTTGTCCAATGGGATAAAATTCTTCTTTATCTTGTTCAATTAATTAAGATGTCATCCTTGTGCAGGTCTTTTAGTACCAAGACTGAGCTCGAAGACGATTCAGAAAGCAGTGGGAGTTGTCGGTTGTGTCATAACCCCTCACAATGTCTTTCTTTATTCTGCTTTGGTGCAGTCAAGGAAGATTGATGCCAAAAATAAAGGGAAGGTCAAAGAGGCTCTCAATTACTACACCATTGAATCTTGCATTGCTGTTCTTGTCTCTTTCACTATTAATTTGTTTGTCACAGCAGTCTTTGCAAAAGGATTTTATGGCAGTTCACAAGCCAGTACTATAGGCCTGGTGAATGCAGGGCAATATCTTCAACAGAGGTATGGTGGAGGTTTGTTCCCTATTCTCTATATCTGGGGCATTGGGCTTCTGGCAGCTGGCCAAAGTAGCACCATGACTGGTACATATGCTGGACAGTTCATAATGGGAGGTTTCCTCAACCTTCGTATGCAGAAATGGATGCGATCATTGATTACGAGAAGTTGTGCCATTGTACCAACCATAATTGTGGCAATTGTCTTCAATAGAACTGAAGATTCGTTGGATGTCTTGAACGAATGGCTTAACGTGCTTCAGGGTATGCAGATCCCATTTGCCCTCATTCCACTGCTCACATTGGTATCGAACGAGCGTGTCATGGGAGTCTTCAAAATTGGAACTGCTATGGGGGTAAGGAAGGATTAAGACTCAGATTCTGGATTGGAACTTAAGATGCCTCTCTCTCTCTCTCACACACACACACACACGCACACATTTGTTTCAGCGAACTCCTTAGTGCTTCAGCATGTCTAATTTCCTACTTCTTCCCGATCTGTGCTGTAGAGAACTGTCTGGACCGTGGCTGCCCTTGTGATAGTGATAAATGGATATGTTTTGCTGGACTTCTTTAAATCTGAAGTTGAAGGACCATTATTGGGATTGGTGGTCTGTCTGGGGACATTAGCATATTTGGCTTTCATTTTATACCTCATCTCACATGGTGGTAGCCTGCCTATGACCAATCTGTTCAGCCACATGCACTCTACTGGATTTGCCCAGCTCAAGAGCTAAGCCAACGATCCTTTTGCCAGATGAATAAAATGGAACTCCATAACACCCATCACTGAAAAGCCTTGTTGCATTACAACAGTGCCAGGAAGCCTTTGTGAGAATTGGCTATGCCGTATCAGGTGACGTAAGTGCACATCAAGACTCAGGATTCAAGTGCGAGAGCTGAGAACTGCTCTATACTACTTTTGAGCAT